TTTCTTCTAAAGAAAATCGGTACGTTAATGTGAAAGAAATTTTCAAAATGGCGAATGCACTGACTTCGTGAAAGTTCGTTATACAACGTATCATCCTCGGCAATGTTCGTAAATCATGGAAAATTTCAAAAAGAAAAAGAACAAACGAATTGTGCAAGATCAAAAGAAAAAAAGAAAAAAAGATAAAAAGAAAGAAAGAAAAATGTGCAAGAAAATTTCAAGATGGCGGTGACCTAATCGTGAAAGTTCGTTAAAAAAAACGTACATCTTCGTCAATCTTCGAGAATTGCGGGAAATTTCAAACACGAAATGAGTCAAAATGAAAGATAAATAAAGAAAATAATATTCTCCTCATTGTATTTCTATGCTAACCATAAATAATGCACTAATAATTCACCTTAGACACTAGTAATAGTAAATTTAATCGTAGATTTAAAAAAAAAAAATACGCTAGAAAAGGTGAGGGAGGGGAAGAAGGAGGAGGAGTAGACGCTGGTGGCTTAAAATAAATAAATAAATAAACTTATGGTATTTAAAAAGCGTATACGCGTTTTAGAATTATTAATAATAATAATAATAATAATAATAATAATAAAATGTATTTAACTAAACCGTATTGATGAAATCGCTCATACTGATGCTGTGGCAAATAAAAAGATTAAAAAAAAAAAAAAAAGAAATAGAAATTTTTCTTAAATGTCAAGGCAGGGTTAGCGTGAAGTTTTGTAANAAAAAAAAAAAAGAAAATAAAATAAAGAAAAATAAAAGAATTAGAGTGGGAGAATAATAATAATAATAATAATAACGTTCACATATTATATTCTCACGTGATACTTAAAAAAATAACCAAAAACAAAAAACACTAGGGGGGAGTCTCTTGCGTGCGTGCGTAAGTGGCTTTAAAATCTCGAACAAGTGCTCATCAATTAAAAACCTAATCGTAAATCATGCATATTACATAAAAATTATACATATAAATCTATGTAATTGTATTTATATATGTGCGTATGTATGGTGGGTTTACGGTAAAACAAAAGTTTCCTAAATGATCCAAAAATTTGTAGGTTATTTTCAAAATTAATGACTATTTTTACATACTTATCAAAATTGTAGGCTGCAATAATACAATTTGATTAAAAAAAAAAAAAAAAAACAAAAAAAAAAATTATAACCTTAAAAGTGTATTGAAAAAGTTGTGATTAAATTTTGTAAATAACCTCAAAACTGTCGATTCAGCGAGAGATTAATTGTTGAATTGTTTAAAGATTTTTGGCTCATTTTAAAGAATTTTGTTTTATCCATTCTGATCTGCGCATGCGTATGGATACGTTCTGATAAAAATACAACTAAAACTAAAACGAAATTGATTAAATATTAACGAAAAATGTTTGGCGCCTAAATGAAACGAATGATAAATACATTAAAATAAATAATAAACTAAACAACAAGCATTAATAATAATAATAATAATAATAATATTAATAATAATTAATAATCTACAACTTGCGTCATATTTAACACAAATCTTGATAAATTTGCGGTGAAAAAAAAAAAGAAAAAGAGGAAAAATAAACTAACCTTTTTTTTTTGTTTTCTTTCAAAAAAAAAAAAAAATGGCGCGCGGATGAGCATCGAGAAAATAATATGTCGGAAATAAAATAATAATAAAATACGCGCTACCTCGCGTGTGTGTCTCTGTCTTTAATAATAATATTTAATAAATAATATAATAAATAATATATATATTTAAACACAAGTATACATATATATATATATGATATTTATTAAAGTATAATGGGTAACATTATATATGTAAGTATATACAGGGTGCTTTTTTTCTAGGGACGCACTGTAGACAAAATATATACATATATTTATAATATACGATATAATACATAATATTATATATATATATATATAGACATACATATATACATATACGTGTCTCCTGTCTTATCACAATGTTATATTGTTATTTATATATTTTGTTATTTTATTCTAATAACAATTATTATCATTATTATTATTTATTTATTTATTTATTATTATTATTATTATTATTATTATTGAAAATTTTATTTCATGTGCATATTAGCAAGCGAATTGCATTATTTCGCTTTCCTGTACTATTTAAAATAAAAAAATAAAAAAAAAAAAATAGAAAAATAGATGACAACTGACAACAATAATAATAAACAACAACAAATCGTTGGCATGCAAATAAACGAAAAATAGAATATTTAGAAAAAAAAAAAAATAAAATAAAATGACAGAAATAAAAAAAGGAAAGCCTATGTATTGTATTCATATAAAACTTGCAGGATAAAATGTGACGAGAACGACAACATTAAACAACAAAATATATAAACGAGCCTACTCCTGAGTCCAGAATTAAATTAAATCAGATATACTATCTATAAGAATTTTATGAAAATTAATATTGAGAGGAAAGCAAGAACTACTACTACTACTACTACTACTACTACTACTACTACTACTACTACTACTACTTCTACTTCTACTACTACTACTACTACTACTATTACTACTACTACTACTACTACTACTACTACTATTACTACTACTATTACTACTGCTCCTACTACTACTACTGCTACTATTACTACAGCAACAACAAGAAACAGAAAATAACGAGAACAAGTAATTAATTGAAATGAAAATTAATTCAATAAAATAAAAACATATGATCGACATAGCTGAAGAAGATGAGAAGAAGAATGAAGATTTTCAGACATAAATATATATATATATATGAACCGTAAATATGTATACATATATGTTTACACACACGTGAGATATTATACATAATACATATATATATATCTAATACACATATACATATATTTTGAGCGGTTAAAAGTTAAGGAAATAATAATAAAACAATAAATAATTAAATTAAAGTCATTTGCACATACATATTGAGAAATAAAAAGTATTGTCTAAGACAACCTTTTTTTTCTTCTCGATTAACTTTTATATATTACACATATATATGTATGAAATAATATACAGGATGTTTCATAATATTTAAGATCAATATCAAGAATGGACTAGTAGAAACAAAAGAATCCTCAAAAAAAAATGTTCATACAAAATGTTGTGTCCCATTTGATTTTGTTTCAAAGTTATTCAACATTTTTGCATTCCAATAATTGATCTTCATTGAAAATATTAGAAATGATCACACCTTTGACTCGTATACAATGTTTAAAGTCGTAATACAATCGAATTTCGCAGTATTTCACCAAAATTCCAGATACTGGTCGAATTTGTCGGCCGCCATTTTGTATAACCGTTCGAAGTTTTTCAACGCTGACCAATGAACGTCGAGTACGCCATTGTTTTCAAACGAGCCCACTAATCAAAATCTTATTTACGCTTTTGTAACTTTGGAATCCACAGCAAACAGTGGCGGATCAAGTCAAGTAGGAACCCCCCTCCCCCAAGCGATAAAAATGTCGGGGGGAGTCGTTCAAACTCAAGTTAGAAAAACAAAAGTTTCAACAAAAATTCTCATTCAGTTATTAACAAAAAAGAAATGTAATCAAAAATTTCATACCGTGACGTGTTAAGTAAATTTACTTTAAAAAAAAAAAACGTAATATTCCTCGAACCCTAATGAAAAGAAATTTGGAAACTTCGGGCCCCACTTCGGAATCCTGCGCAGCCGCTTAATCCGCCACTGACAACAAATAGAAAATAATGAAATACTTCTAGTAAAAGAACTGAACGTTGAAACTGAACCGATTAAACTGATACGACTAAATTTAATGAACAAAATGTGTGACGTTCAACGTATACACGAAGATTATTGGAACACAAATGTGAAACATAACCTCGAAACGAGGTTAAGTAGAATACACTTTTATATGAACAATGTTTTTTTTTTTTTTTATTAAGTTTGCATTTCATGGTCACTTTTGAAGTGAGTTTCACACATTTTGAAATATCTTGTATATTACGTATATATATGTAGATATGAAAGTATTAACAATTAGATATGTAAGATATATTATTATAATAATTAAATGCGAGAGTGTGTCTGTGTCTGTGTGTGTGTGTGTATGCGTGTATGTGAAAGAAAGAGAGAAAGAGAGATAGTGATAAAGAGAGAGAATAAAATAAAAACATGCCAAGCATGTTCTTTGCGTGATAATCTAGTGAAAAATAAAAATAATGGCGGGAAATTTAAATAGAGAATTAAATGAAATGTGAAAAGAGTTGAAAGAAAAAGGAGAAGAAAGTCGGAATAATAAATAAATAAATAAATAAATACGACGAAATATAATAAATAATACACACACGTTCATTGATACATATATACGTACATAAACATTAAAAAACTAAACATTGCATGGTACCTAAGTGTCTATTTGTCTACTAAATGTCTGTTTATCTGTCTGTCTATTCTTAGTATATAAGCGTTAATATTATGCGATATATATATATATATAAATATAAATATAAATATAAATATAAATATTATATATATATTAACTTTTAAAAACTTTCTACTTGTGTGAGAGCAAAAAAAAAAAAAAGAAAATAAAGTAATAATAATAATATTAATAATAATAATAGTATAAATAAGTTGAAGCAAACAGAGAGCAACGGCAACAATAATTAAAAAAAAAAACAATGGGGGATTGTTAGGGGAAAAAGAAAAAAAAAAGAAGAATATTTGACATAATAAAGTTTGAGATTGTATCGAAGTAAAAAGAAAAAAAGAAAAAATCATTTGCTAAAAATAAATATAAATGTGAGGTTAGGAATGAAATGATTCAAATAAAATAACTGGGAATGGTTTTTGTTGGTTATGATAGGAAGAATAAAGAACAAGTAGGGTTTTTATTATTAGAATGAGCGAAATAAAAATAAATAAATAAATAAATAAATAAATAAATAAATAAAAAACACACACACAAAATAGTAAAAACAAAAGAAAGAAATATGTGGTAAATGATTAACGGTTGTTGTAG